AAATGCTGGAAAGCCTGTGAGCAAAAAGAAAACCAAAACCCCGCCCTTTCCTATTGGTGGAAAAATGTACCATGTGGCCCAATCAAAAAAATGATAAGGCAACATGGCCTTTAAATGTTTAGGGAGGGGGAAGATTTAGGGGTGACGGCGGTTTTGAGATGTGAGAGATTTGAGACGTTTAGCACAAATCTTGTGTATTTAGTGTGTAGTTAGTGTGTAGTTAGTGTGTAGTGTAGTCAACAGTTTTGTTGTGTGTCAGAACAATGAGGCGACTGCTGAGTGTTACAGGTGTTACAGCAGTGACACATCTGCTGCTGTCAGGCCTGCAGGTATCAGGCTGTTGTTCTCCTTCATCTCATAGTGGACAGGAATAATTTGTGTGGCATCAGATTTGATGCAGAACAGCTGATTGTTCTGTAAATAGTTTGAAATGTTCATTTAAAAACGCCTTGGCTGCATTTTTAGGTAAACAGCTGCAAAAAACTTTGTTTGCATAACTCAGTTACTTTTTTGAAGAAGTAACTATGTAATTAATTGTCCAACATTGGTCAGTATTTACTGTATTTGCAGACAGAGTTACAGACTCTCTCACAGACCACAGACTCATAATACAGTCAGAGCTTTATAACAAGAAAAAAGAAAGTTGTGTTTTCAAAATTGGTTCAAGTTATTTTTCCTTCCAATAGTGTTAACATGCTGCACAGGTCATGAACAAGATTTCTTCTCATTGTAAGTGGGCTAAAGCAGTTAATTAAAAGTAGTCTAACATAAATGCTGTAATTAGATTATTTTAATAAACATGTAACTTGGATGATTGGATGCTGGCGTGACCACAGTGCACACGTCTGCTGTCGCTCACAGTGGTCCAGGGGACGCTCAGGGAGTTTGTGTGTTCGCTCAGACACATGAAACATTAGAGGGGACACTGCTTACAGCTGCTGCAGATAAAACTGTGTGTGTGTGTTAAGAGTTTTGGTTAGTAAGACTTAACAACTGGTTGTAGGTGACGGCGTCGTACTGGTTAATCTCTATTGTGGTGCATAACCTGTTCCAGACCAGGTTAGGTCTGCAGCATTAGTTACCATAATGATGCATCCTGGTGCAAAGTGAGCAGCCGAGGTTAACCGTTAGTTTACCTCGACGAGCACAAACCCTGCTTCCTAGCAGTGGCGTCTATGACGAGCTGCGCGACTGTTAAAACTCCCGCCTGACAGCATGGAGACACGTTTTTAAAGCTGCGGTTGATACAAACTCAAACATGTTGAGCAGTGTGAAGAATTCAGACACAAAATACGAACTTCTTCATTTTATCTTCCCTTCTGGCTGCATTTTAATCAGGCATGTGAGTGAGCAGTGTTACAACGGTTTCCATTTGTTGCACCTTTACAGGGAAGCAGCAGTTTAACTGCCTGAAATCTGTCTCTGTGCAGACACTCAGCTGTACTTATGTCACTGACCTCAAATTGCAAACTTCCCTGAATGTGCTTTCTTCTGATTGGCTGCCACACCCAACAGGTAGAACAGCAGCAAGAACTATACCATTACCTTTGAGCAGTGCTGATCCTGGTGTTCTGTAGTGATGCTGCTTCTGGGTGGAAGGATGTGCAACTGCTGTTCACTGCTGCATGAATACACAACTCTTACTGAGTTTAACAGAAAACTCCAGGTGGTTTCATTCTCTTACAGCTGAAGTACAGCTTATCTTATCTTAGAAGCTGCACACTGACCTCCTGCGACCAGTGAAAATATGAATCTTGTTTTCCTCTTAGTATAAAGACGATCTGTTCTGAAAGTGTTCACATGTACGAGTTGGAATGTGTGTCCTCGGTTTTTCCTTGCTGCAGTCCATAGATAAACTCTTCAGATCAAAGACATCCGAGTCATCCGTTTCCTGACCCATCTGGCTCTGGGTTCCTCTCCACCTCCTCCTGCTCTTCTAGTGGGTCGCTGAGGTGTTCCCGAGCCAGCTGAGACCCCCGTGTGTCCTGGTCCTGTCCTGGAGTCTCTTTGAAGTTGGACATGCACAAAACATCGGACCTAGCAGGCGAATAAGAATGCGATCTGCCCTAAAGGGGTTATAGATTTAAGACTGTATGTGAAGGATGGATGCATCCACCTGCACGCGTTTTCTGGTCTCGGGATCCATTATTTCAACAGTGTAATTACTATTTTTAAGAAAATATATTTTCCAGTACCTGCTTAGACCCACAGCATATTACTTCTTATATATCAGCATTAAAAATGCTCTAAAACGGTGAAAAAAACAGTTGAGAAGTTTAGTTAGCTGAGGTGAGGCCTTGCAGACCACGCCCCCTACCATCACGGCTTTACAGCATCCAGATGGGTGAGTTATTAAAAGAAGATCAACACCTGCATTGTTTTAATGAATGCATCCACGCAGACCAAAACAGTGTTTCTAACAGGCTGTAAACATATTCAGAGTCCAGTGAAATAATAAGAAAACTGGAATATAAACTGATTAAAATGTTGCACATTTGCAATGAACTGAACTACAGGAGAACTTTCAGAGGTTTAGGGTTGGGTTTGGTGATGGCACATGTTAAATGAGCAGGTTGTCATAAAGTAGAAGACGCTGCCTTTCACATGGAAGATTTTCCTGTGAGTTGAAACCAACTCCTGTAGTCCTAACTCGACCATCGATGGGCTGTTCATGATCTCCTGGCTCACAGCTGAGGTGATCCTGTCAGGCGTGCTCTGGTAAAATGGGTGCAGGGAAAGTAGTTTTTATGGTTCGGTTTAGTAATACTCGTGTTGGGTGATGGAACCATATGTATGCAACCTGCAGCACATTGTTTAAGCAGATAAGAACCTGCATGAGCGGCTGAGAGCGGGTCTGAACAGAGAGAGCTGGAAGAAATGGATGAATGTCTGCAGCTTCTGCCTGCAAACACACGAACCCGCACAGTGCAAACACTGCACTGCACAAGCAGCAGTCACGGGGGCTCAAGTCCATCAGATGGGCTGTAAGTAGGTAACGTTTATTTATAAAACAGCTTTATAGGTCAGCCGTGGCAAAAAGACGACTCAGATGTAAGAAGACCTGCAGACACGAGGTGGGAGGAGCCAAAAACACAGGCAGGAAGCCTGACTTTGCAGACATGCCCAGATTTAAAAACAAGAATTTAAATTTGAAATGAAAAGCACTGCAGATCTTTCATATGTAGGCCACCGCTGCCCAGGTCCTAATCTGTAGAGCTGAAGTTCACTGAGGAGAAAATGCTCATCAAAGATGATCACATAAGCAAAGAGGCCGTTTGCTCCGAGGTCAGCGTGTGGATCAATCAGTTTATGAGTAATACTGAGGAACACCATCATGTACACCACCTTTCTTTTTCAAATCTACGTCTGTTTCCTGCTCACACGGCTAAACACGGTTCTCCTGGCCACCACACGGCGCTTCCTCCATGTGGGGATCCTGACTGTTGGCTCACTTTCAGAGTAGACGTTTTACTTCCCAGCAGGAGAGGATCTAATGTTTCTGGCTCTTTCACATTTTCTAAAGACATTTCTACTTCCTATCAGACAGTGTTGTGGTTTACATATTATCTCTTCCTCACTTCCAGGAGGAGACACAGATGCCCTCTGGGATTGTGTCATGAAGGGCATCCGACATGAAAACCTGACAAAACAAACATGTGGCGCTACCTGCTGCGGTGGCCCGTCGTGGATAAGAGAGCGTCTGAAAGTCTCTTATGCTGGAACGTGACTAAAATGCATCAGGAGAGACGAGCACAGCAGTGAGGACTAATGCCCTTCACTGGTTTCCTTTTACTGGAAATTACAACCAAAAAGAGGTTGTGTGTGTGAGAGATCCCCCCCTGAAACACACACACACACTTTTTGACCACTAGAACTGCTAAAAATATCTCTGGGGTGCAATCGGTTTACATCATCGACCCAGAATGCATTTCACACAGAGTAACGTGTACCAAGCGTTTGGGACGTGTAAACGAATCAGAGTGTTTGTAACAGAGTGCTTCAGTGGGGGAGGACATTTGGAGCATGTTAAGGAACGTAATGGGAAATATGTATCTTTCTAATGTTACAGGCTTTGATTTCGGGTATATGTGGAGGGTTTGATTGTAATGTCACATTTCTAACCAGCACATCATGAACTGTGAGATTTGCTGCAGACGCCTGCTCCTCTGTAACACGCCTCAGAGCCTGGGCTGCACACTCACTGTAAAATGTAACGTTTCTCATATTTCCTACTGTTACTGAAATACAGAGAAGTTGAAATGTAGGAATGAACATGAGGATTGTAAAAGAAAAAGCTTGAACAACTTTGTTTTGCATGCAAATGATTTTAAACCACAAATAACATTTTAGTTGGTGGCATGAGGGAGCACACATGACTGTAGCTGCACGGTGGGGATTTAAATACTATTTAATGAATCAAACCACCTGATCACGCCCGTCCTCTGGAACGCTGCAGCTTCTACTTTAGTGTTGAGCATCTTTTGTTGTGTTGAAGTGGCAGCAGCGGCGGGCACGCCCTGCCTCAGTGCCTCATGTGAAGATGAATCACTCACTTGCCTGCATATCTGCACAGTGAGCCAGACTTCAAACCACAAAGGCTGAAAAATGGGACCCATCGAACCAGTTATGGTTTCTCTGACTCATCGGGAGGAAGTTTCTCCCTGTGTGTGTGTGTGTGTGGTGGAAATGTGGCTCAATGAAGAGGGCCGAGTGTGTGAAGAGGCAGTGAATGATTGACCGGACTCAGCAGGTTTATTATCAGGGTGTTTTTGGGCTGCGGTTGACCTTTGGACTTGCATCCTCGCTCACAGACGCTCCGCAGCAACAACAGCTGTCAAAAAGTGTGAAGCTGTTTGTTTTCAGGGTAAACGCGGGTGACACTTGAACGTAACTGTTGCTGTTTCATCTTACAAACGTAAACCAAACGCAGATTAAAGGGTTTTCACTCCAGCTGGAGCTCTGCTGTGTCAACAGTCAGGCACACGGCTCGTTAAGTCGACCCATTTTCCTGATCCATGTGCTTTTACAGCCCGTTCACCATATTTGGTAGGGCGCCGCGCATGACGTCACAGCTGCGTCACCTCCGCTGCCTTCTTTCTCGTCCGAGCTCTCAATATGGCGCCGGTAAGTCCTGGCAGCTCGTCCGGTTTTTGCTTAATTTGTTCTGAGTTTCTTCGCCTTTTTCTTTCTCTGGCACTTTGATCAAGTCCCATAAAAGCACCCATCGTTAATGACGGGTGGCTCTACCGAGAAAACTTTATTTACATCCAGAAAACTAACAAGTTAGCCGCGTTAGCATTAGCTCGCAGCACCTGGTCACACGTGTCTCATTCATTAATCTGATTGCAAACCAGACTCCACAGGGAAAAACGCGTATTTGTTACTTTAAACGGTTTTAATACCTGGAAGTCTACCGGGTTTGGGTTTGTGGACAGTATCTGTGTGTTTTAGGATCCACTGGTGAATTCGGCATAACTTAAAGTCATGTTCCCTGGTCTATTGTCACTAAATAAGGAACATTGTCTATCATATTAACTGTTTTGTTCTTGAGCTTTGGTGCTATTACTGGTGTTTGGGATCACTAATCATGGAACTAAAACAGACGCCAAATCTCACGAGTAAAATAATGGTAACTTAAAAAAAACCTCCTGCCAATCCAAAGGAAAAATACTTGTCTTAACTGGAAGCACACATACATCCATTGTACATGACAGGCTTTAAATAAAATGTCAGTCCCATACCTGCAAAACTGGTTTCTACAAGACTGAATCTGGCAGAGATTGAATGTCCTTTTTTTCTTCCAGGACTTGAGTCCATATGCAGACAGACATAATATCAGATATTTAACGCAAGACATTCGTTTTGAGAAAATAAATGACAGTAGGGACTTGTTCAAAGCCTCACTGGAAACACAACAGAGCACGAGCCAATAAACAGAGCCTGAGACCGTCTTTTAAAACGAGTGACCTCAAATTTCTTTTATGACTCTGTATTCAAACATCAACCAAAAGCATCAGAAAACTCCTCACACACTGAAACTAAACATTAGCACTGAAGGGTTTATGTTTGACCGAGCGGCTCTCTGACTCTGGCTTATTTTTAGCTTTAGGTCTCCTCGTCATCTTTTTTCTTTACCCATCCGGTACCCAGAGATTTATCTAATGTCATTTGAAGAAACAGACTTTGCATAACTCAAGAACCATGTGGCGACATCACTTCACCACTGTTACCTTGGAAACCAGCTATAGCAATAAGCTTTGCTCACTATGTTAGTTTACGCGTGTTCTAGTAAAGTTAACATGTGAAACATGATCACAGATCAGAATGAAGAGGCCAGCTGGTAAGAAGTCCAAGAAGGGGGCTGCATGGAAGTTCACCCTGGACCTGACCCACCCTGTGGAGGATGGGATCCTGGACTCTGCAAGCTTTGTAAGTCTACTTGCAGTCGTCACTACTTTAGCAGAAATCCAGTTCAAATCGTGCCCCCCAAAAGTGACAAATTAATTCATTAAAGGGTAAATTTGGTGGTTTTTGCAAGCAGCTGACCCGATCTGTGGACTAGGGCGCCCTTCCCTAGCTCCAGATTTACTAGGGTTCTCTTCCCTAGTGCATTACTATGCTCTATCCAATAGGAGACCTTCCTTAAAGAGAAGATCAAGGTGAACGGGAAGACGGGGAATCTGGGTGACATCGTCCAGGTCGGCCGCATGAAGAACAAGATCAACGTGACGTCTGAGAAGCAGTTCTCCAAAAGGTAAAACGAGAAGTGTCACAAGAACCAGAGAACCTTCCTGGAAACGGTTCTGATGGTCAGTGTTCTCCCACAGGTATCTGAAGTACCTGACAAAGAAGTACCTGAAGAAGAACAACCTCCGCGACTGGCTGAGGGTGGTGGCCTCTGACAAGGAGACGTACGAGCTGCGATACTTCCAGATCAGCCAGGACGACGAGGAGTCCGAGGCAGACGAGTAAACAGCTGCAGCCACATCTGTGTGTGTGTCAGCGGGAGAATAAATGTGGGAAAGAAATCTCGTCTGTGTCGTGTTTTTGTCTGACAAAGTCAGTCCTGCAGCGTCCTGCTTAGCTGGTGTATGAAATCATGTTTATCAGTTTATGGAGCGAGTAGATTTTATCAAACATTCACAAAACAATTTGAGGAATTTTAAAATTGGTGAGGAAGAAGCAGAAAACATGTCAGCATACATTATGTAATGTGTACTCTATTATCAGTTGTCAAAGGAGTAAAGAAGTGAAAATATGAATAAAATAACATTTTATTAGGATCAGAAAACAAGCAAATAAAATGAGAAGCCAAAGACATTTCCAGCATTTACACAGAACCAGTTTAGTCTGTTATTCCAGTTAACTGCTGTTAAAGTGACAAACTGGTTAGCTGTAATAATCTTCCAGGTGTAGCTAGTTCTACTTCATGCATCAGCAGAGTAAACACACAGCAGGGCTGCACTGTTCATAAACTCCTAGTTTCGGGGTTCTTAAAGCACAGCCTGCATGTAGGTACAGGAAGTGATGCACTGCTGTGTTTCATTCATCCAGAGATGGGCTCAGTTTTCAGTTCCTGCTCTGCTGTCCTCACAGCACGCAGGCTTGGCTTCCCTCACAATGATAGATACAGGTGACGTCAGATGTAGCAGGCACCTCTGTAAGGATTATAAACCATCATCCTCTGAATGAATATATAAAGATAAAATTGTCAAAATTTGGAAAGCTGTAGTAAAGGCAAAGAAAGGGGGGACTCAGCTGGTTTGGACGTGTAGAGGACGGATCATGAATATTTTGGACAAAAGATCCTGTGGATGGAGCTGCAGTGCAGGAGGAGAAGATGGAAACCACAGAGGAAGTTCATGGATGCAGTCGAGAGTGTTGCTGTGACAGCGATAGGTTGAGATCTGGGCAGATGACTCGCTCTGTGCACCCCTGGAGGGAGCAGCTGGAAAAACAAGACAGGCTGGTGTATAGGAGGTGGGCAAGCGACCACCAGGTGGTGCACTGGCATGTTTAGTTTATGAGCAGCATCAGTGTGATATAACGGGATACAGCTTAATGCTATTGCTTGACCGCAAAAAAGTGTCGCACAAATTCTCAAAATGATTTAAGGCCCAGAGTTCCCACAGAGACACAAACGCCTGCAAAACGAGACATAAAACTTGACACAAAAAGAACTGAAGATGCACCAAAAGATGTAAAATTGCTTTAAAAAATGATGCCCTGTATTACCCAAAGTATTCACTCAGCCATGCAAGTCACTGAAATCAAGCATCAGCATGCAGATTGTTTCCACAAACATTTGTGGGTCGCTCTCAGGAGCTCAGGGAATTCCAGCGTGGTACCGTGATAGGATGCAACCTGTGCAACAAGTCCAGTCTTAAAGATTCCTCACTACTAAATATTCCACAGTCGTGTGTCAGTGGTGTTATCGTCAAGTGGAAATGATTGGGAACGACAGCAACTCAGCCGTGAACCAGTAGGCCATGTAAAAATCACAGAGCGGGGTCGGTGGACGCTCAGGCACGTGGTAAACAGCGGTCACTAACTTTCTACAGTGGACACTTGTTCTCTTAGAGGATGAATCACACTTCTCTGTCTGATCTCTTTCTCAATCTGATGGGTGAGTCTGCGTTTGGTGGGTGCCAGGAAGAATGGTACATGTCTGACTACACTGTGCTAAGTGTAAAGTTTGGTGCAGGGTGAGGTTATATTCATGAGATGGCCTCAACCTTTAGCCCAACCAAGACATTTTAGATCATTTCATGCTGCCAACTCTTCATACATGAATGTGCATCAGTGAACAAAGGAAGGTCCACAAAGACAAAGATAAGCGACTTTAGTGTGGAAGAACTTGACAGGCCTGCACAGACTCCTGACCTTAACCGGACAGAACACCTTTGGGATGAATTAGAAGCCTCTGACCCAGGCCTACTCATCCAACACCTGCGCTTGGCCTCACAAATGCACTTCTGGAAGGAAGGTCAAAAATTGCCATAAACACACCCCTGAAAAGTCTTTCCAGAAGAGTTGAGGCTGTTATGGCTGCAAAGACTGGGTCAAAATCCAATTGCACCCTATAGATTAAGTCAGGATGTCCCTCAGGTTCACATGCATGTGATAGCAGACGAGCGATTTTGGTAATGTAGTGTACAAACTAACTACGAAACAAAAGCCAAGAGCGATGAAATGAGAAAGAGACAGAACAAGATTTTTAAAAACGGTAACATACATATTTAAGGTACCGTACTGCATGAAGATTCAAAAAGAACGACAGCCGTAACAAATATAAGCTTTACCGAAAAGGAAAGTCTGAAACTCTTGAAACAACATTAACACGGGAGTCTATGAGGAGTGAAGCGTTTTGGAGCCTCAAGTGGACACTAGAGGAACTGCAGCAGAAGCAGAAAGGAGCTGCAAAGGTCAGTAAAAACGCCTCCAGGATTATGAAAAAGTTACAATACAGAGATGTTTAGAGTCTTTTTCAATTCCGATATCTTCTCATAAAGAAGGAGTCTCAGTAAAACAAGGGCAAAACAGTAAATTACACTGAAACGAAGCCTCACGGGAGCTGCAGTTGTCCTAATCAGGCACTATTGTTTTCTTTCACCTTGAGCAGCAGTGAATAAATTTGCACTCTGGCTTCAGGGGGACGTGCCAGCAGAGTCCATCCCCTCGGGTCAGCTCTGTGCTCCTGTAAGAAGCGCCTGGGATAACTGCTTTATTCCCGTAAACAGAAAAGGATGTTTTATTTTGCTGCTGCTTTCTCTGGCAGCGTGTCTGGATTCACTCCCATCTGCTCATCTGTTGCATATAAAGCGTGAACCTCAGGAATCCACCTCATCTGCTCTGCAGTCAGCGGCTGGTGTCATCTCACATTTATACGATGGGTGTTTATTACAGAAACAGTTCTCTGGAAAAACAGTTTACAGTCAATTTGAATCTGCATAGAAACTAGTAATTGACACTGGCAGATAACTCAAATATTTGCCTCAAAATAGTACGGGGAGCAGCAGAAAGTGAAAAGCTGATAAATGTCGGTTCAGCAGTTGGCAGCTCGTCAGTAAATCCTGAAATTGAGACTTATGTTCTTGATAAATAAAGCATTAAAAATATGCATAACATTTTGTTTGTTTTTAACTGAACGAGTCTCTTGATTGGGCTCAGTTTCGCTCCTGAAGGTGGGAACATCTCTGAGCTCAGCCGTGTTTCCCACAGACTGTCCTGTGCCGACAGTGGTGGAGTGTCCTGTTTCGGCTGCTTTATACCATCATGCAACTGTGTATGCAGGTAACGCTGTAATCGGACTCTGTGGATCAGGTGACGAGCAACAGCACATATATACAGCTGCACAGACAGAGTGTAGACTGATGGTTTTATTTCAGAGGGCCAGCTGGGTGCTGCTCCTGGTGGGACGGGGAATCCCTGACTGCTTCTTCGGTCCCTTTCCTCAGTGCCTGTGTGTCAGTCTGTACAGGGTTTCCAAACAGATTATTTCTTCAGCAGATGCAGGTTCTGATACATGTTCTCAAAGTTACATTTCAGTTTAAGAAGTTCTGGTAAGTTTTAAGCCTGGTGTTAGTGTACTGCAGCACCAAACAGACCACACAGACTCACACTGACTCGCAGTGGGGATGTAGCTCAGTGGTAGAGCGCATGCTTTGCATGTATGAGGTCCTGGGTTCGATCCCCAGCATCTCCAGGTTTTATACCATCAAGCTTCTGCACTTGGTCAAAGACATCCACACAAAACAAATATAACTGAGGTCAAAATGTCACGTGAAACAACTACAGGTTACAAAAGGTATACCTGGTTTTAAAGCACAATAATGCAGAAAGCACACACCAAAATGCATCATTTATGATGCATGTTATCATAGATAAGCTATAGTTGAAGCAAATAGTCAGGATGGCCGAGCGGTCTAAAGCGCTGAGTTTAGGCTGCCGTCTCCCCTGGAGGTGTGGGTTCAAATCCCACTTCCGACAGTTGCTTTTGTCCAAGTAAATGTTCAGAGGAGCATGTTACTAAACCTCCTGAATTCCTACATAATTTCCATCAATAAAGTATTCTGAAACTGAAATCTCACAGGCTGCTAGCGCTGCAGCAGCGTTGGGTCCGGGACTCTGTAACCAGCAGACTCCAAACACAGCAACCTCAGGCCCTTTTCCTGATCTTTAATCACATCTCCCTGTGCTCCACTCTCCCCACCTTCACCCAGTATGTCACCTGCCACACCAGAGACAATAAAACATTGGACTTATTGTATGCTAACACCAAGGAGGCAGCTCATCATCTCTCCCTCCCCTGGGGGGCTCAGATCACAACCTGGTTCGTCTCCAGCCTGTGTATAAACCTCTGGTCCACAGAGAACCAGTTGTTAAACGCACAGTGAGGAGGCAGAGACTGAAGAGGCCCTGAGGGATTGTTTCTGTTCCACTGTGTGGGAAACCTCTGCACCAGGCTGCAGGAGACTTGGGGTGGGTGAATGACCTCAATAAATATTTTAATAGGTTTGATCAACCACCCACCCCTCCCCCCAGGATCGTCCCCCTGCTGCAATCTCCCTCATCTTCAGGCGCTGCCTGTCTTTCATATCAGGACTTCACAACCCAGCTCCCAGCCATCACACCCACCCCTGGCTCTGTGGACTCCAACATACACCCCCCTCCCCCGAATCCCCTCTCTCCATCTCAGCACTTCAAGTGAGGAATGAGCTTCGCAAGATCAAGGTGCAGAAGGCTGCAGGTCCAGATGGCGTCAGCTCCAGGCTCCTGAGATGCTGCGCAGATGAACTGTGTGGCATCTTAGGATGCCTGTGAGGTCACAGGGCTGTGTCGCTGGTCTGCTGTGCTAGCACCGTTCCTCTTCACCCTCTACACTGCAGACTTCTCCATCAACTCCCCACGCTGCCACCTACAGAAGTTCTCTGACGACTCTGCCATAGTCGCCTCATCACAGGTGAGGACGACTCAGAGTGCAGACAGTGGACTCTTTGTGGACTGGTGCCGGAAAAACCAAGGAGTTGGTGGTGGACTTCCAGAGACGCAGACCCACCACACTAACACCGGTGAACATCCAGGGAGTGGACATTGAGATAGTGGACTCTTATAGGTACCTGGGTGTTCACCTGAATAAACTGGACTGGAGCCACAACACTGATGCTCTGTACAGGAAGGGTCAGAGCAGACGCTACCTGCTGAGGCAGCTGAGGTCATTTGGAGTCCAGGGAGTGCTTTTAAAGACCTTCTATGACTCTGTGGTGGCATCTGTCATTTTTACAGTGTGGTATGTTGGAGCAGCAGTTTATCAGCAGCTGAGAGGAAGAGGTTGGATAAACTCATCAGGAAGGCCAGCTCTGTTCTGGGATGCACCCTGGACCCGGTGCAGGTGGTGGAGACAGAAGGACTCTGGCCAAAACAACATCTCTGATGGACAGAGTCTCCCAGCCCATGCATGTAAATGTTGCTGCAGAGCTGCTTCAGTGACAGACTGCTGCATCTAGATGCATGAAGGAGCGTTTCTGCAGGTCCTTCCTCCCTGCAGTGTCAGACTGTACAATCAGAACTGCTCCTAACAAACAGATGTTTACATCAGCGCTGTAACTGCACTATTTTATCAACCAATTCGCACTATAACCCGGGTTTGCCTCTTATCTGTATTTAATTTTAGTAACGGTACAGTACTCTGTTTTTGGTAACCATTGTTCTTGATGTAAATATGTAAAAATTGTGTGTTTCTGTTCTGTGTCTTGTGTACTGTTTGTTTGTATATGTGTCTTTCTTGCTGCTGTTACACCCAAATTTCCCCTTGTGGGACAATTAAAGGATTATTCTATTCTATTCTATTCTATTCTATCGATTCTTCAACTTCAACAAGGGGATGTAGCTCAGTGGTAGAGCGTGTGCTTCGCATGTATGAGGTCCTGGGTTCAATCCCCAGCATCTCCAGGTTTTATACCATCAGGAGTTGATCAAAGTTCAGAGATGATCATACTGAACAAACAACCATGAGGTCAAAAACTAAAAAAACCACATCTCCTTAAATTACAACAGAAACCCGCCAGACCGAAAACCTTTGATGCTCTATAAAAATGTGGGGAAAGAATCTGCGTAGCACTATAATCACAAGAAAAGTCTAACAGACTCAGACGGCAATAAATCAACACAAAATGTCCACAAGACCCAAGAAGAGCAGCGTTCAAATGCCAGCAGCTCCAGGTTTTATGCTTCTGAAGTTGATCGACGTTTTGACCTGAGGTTAAAATGACATGTGACAAGGTTTATAGCACTAAACATGATCAGTCCTAAATCTTTCTGGCTTTCAGGAAACTATTAGGAAAAGTAAGACAAAAAATGTCCACAAGACTCAAGGACCATCACGTCTACGCTGTGCGTTTGTGAGGTGATTCATGAAGTTTGGTTACTATTAGCAAATTGCGTTTGTGTGCTGAGAGACACTTTCAAAGATATCTACACTGTACAAATAACCACGCAGTCAAAATGTCCGTCACATAAATGTCAACAACATACATGTGAGTCAAAGGAGCTTGCAAAGAAAAGCGTCTGGACTTCTTTAAGTTACTTGAAGTCGTTTCACCTCTCATCCGAGAAGCTTGATGGCATGAAAGCTGGAGATGCTGGGGATTGAACTCAGGACCTCACACATGCGAAGCACACGCTCTACCACTGAGCTACATCCCCTTAAGTGTGCATTTCCTAAGTGTTGCTACATGACACTATCAGTGTAGGTCATAGGTCAGTCATCTAGATCATGGTAGTATAAGGAGCTTGGGGGAAAATAAAACCACTGTACTTCATGAAGTTTTGTAAAGATGCGTCACCTCTCATCCAAGAAGCTTTCTCAGTTCTAAAACAAAATGGTGAAGAGTCCTGGGTATTTAAACCCTAGTGAGATTGTCCCTTAAGGAGGTCGTTGACCCACTATTAATCATGTGCCTCATCACATGAGCCAAGGTGTGGAAAAGGCGTGGGTCATCATCAGAGGTTTAGGGTGAAACCACTTTCTCAAGGACTTAGGCTACGTCCACACTAGCCTGGATAGATTTGAAAACGGCGTTTTCGTCTGAAAGCGCTCCGCGTCCACACTATCGTTTTCAGTCGTTTTCACAGAGTTGTGCGTCCACATTGAAACGGATGAAAATGCTCACGTTCCAGTACTGCGCACACATGAAGCGCAAGAAGATTCGGCCTGCCTCATTTCTGTCTGCTGTGTATTTACTTTCCAGCTCTTTGAAACGTCGCGGCAGAATGTCGAGGAAAAGCACCGAGTTTTTTTAAATGGACTAACAATGAGGTGGAGTTGTTGCTGCGAGTAACACAAAAGTACAAAGTTGCAAAAGCGAGTGAGAATGAAAGAATTTGAGGAAAAGCTATCTGGAGCATCTACAGACTGATATGAATCTTTGATAGGGCTGTCAAACAAAACAACTGCTGCATAATGCCCTCCGCTATCTTTGTTTAATTGGTCACATGACTGCATCACATTACTAAAATGTGTCATTTTTTTCAAAAAGTCTCAGTTTTCCTGTCCACACTGTGACGCAAAAGCACCTTTTTCACGTGTCTGCGTTTTCGAGAGCGTTTTCTCTCGGTGTGGGCGGGAGGCCAAACGGAGAGAAAACGATGCGTTTTCAAACAAAAACGCATTAGTGTGGACGTAGCCTTAATCAGATTCTCCACTCAACTTTTCACTAAGAAGGTCTGTGAAGGTTCTCAGTCATCCAGGTCATCGTAGTCAAAGGAGCTTGCAGAGAAAAGCGTCTGGACTTCTTTCAGTTGCTTGAAGACGTTTCACCTCTCATCCGAGAAGCTTCTTCAGTTCTAAGGTCAAATGGTGGAGAGTCCCAGATATAAACCTAGTGGGAGTGACCCCCCACACAGGGACAAAAGAACCCCCTGATGATCCTCTAATCGCCTGAGCCAAGGTGTGAAACTGGGTGTGGGTCCCAATCAGCCAGCCAGTTCGGCAACCTCACACACGACAGGTTGAGGTTAGGTCTCAGAGTGATTTCACTCATAACCTTTGGTGATGACCAACTCCTGTTTCCACACCTTGGCTCCTGCGATAATGCACATGATTAATTGTGGGTCAACGACCTCCTTCAGGAACAACCCTCACCAGGGTTTAAATTGTTTTAAGACTGAAAAAGCCTCTTAAGAAGTGAAACATCTTTACAAAACTTCATGAAGTCCAGTTACTTTTCCCCCCAAAGCTGCTGAGAGTTGCCTTGGACTTGGTTGCCTGATCAAGTTTTTTCCATCAAGCTTCTGGAGCTTCTTGATTTTTCTTGATCAAAGTTCAGAGATATCAATACGAAACAAATAACCGAGCTGTGTAAAGGGGATGTAGCTCAGTGGTAGAGCGCGTGCTTCGCATGTATGATGTCCTGGGTTCAATCCCCAGCATCTCCAGGTTTTATACCATCAACTTCCAATATATTGAACCTTTGTAAAGCTGCCATCAGTTTGCTCCTGCAAGCTTTGAAAACAGATGCTTTTCCACACACACACCTGTTGAGTTCCCAGCCCTGCACACTAACAGAAACAAACATCAGCTCAACTCAAACACACTCTCACAGCACCTCTTTCGTCCCTTCTTCGAGTGACCAATGACAGCTACATGCACACGCCCATGCTCAGCCTCAGATGTTGAATATTTTATCAAAATGGTCACATGGTTTCAGCTCTGAATGATTAAACACGGCCATCTCCTCTCGTCACATATCCACCAGCTCTGCGTTGGACGGAGGAATCTGCCTCAGGAGGGAAACTGAACAGCAAGTGAGTGTGTTGCCTGTGTGCTCTGGTGTGCACGTTCAGACTGCGTGATTTGTGTTTTTATCAGTTTTTAAGCCTCAGACTGTCTCTTTGCTCTTTTGAACCTAGGCTGTTTTTGTAGGGCTGATTTCAGTTTAGGTGTTGACTGAACTTATATGTTTGAGTATGAAGCTCTAAAACAGATCAGAGCTTTCGACGTGTAGGTGTAGAAGTTCGCCTGTGCGTGATTAAGTTTTAGACTCCATGTCCGAACCTTTCCATCATGAAACAGGATCCTCCTTGGACATCATTAAAGTTTCAGAGAGGGAGTCTCGCTCTAGTGAGTGAGGAGAACTGCTGATGGTATCCCAGCTTCATTAGCATGGAACGACTTTAAAACACACCAGCAGGACCAGAGGCTTCAAAGTTTCAAATGGCTGTGAACGTTTCTTTTGGAAAGCTTGAATACAGAAATGATTAGACACTAAGTGACTACTATGATACTCAAAGTAAGAGATTTAAAGTAACTGCTAAGAGATTCAAAACAACAACAACAAATACCATCCGAGGAACTTCCTAACCACAAAGAGACTCCAAGCAATCACAAAAAGAAACAAATGACCAGAAATGCACTCAGAATCACTGCACAGAGACTTAAAGAACCACAACGACATTCAAACAACTCTGTTGTTTAAACTACTTTTGTCTACCCCCATAACAGGGCACTGTAGTGGCTAACTCTTTGTTTTGGCAGAGTTTATATGCAGATGCCCTTCCTTATGTTACCCTACAGGGGGTCGAATCAAACAAGCAATCTTTCGCTTCGTCAAATGACCACAGATAGACTAAAAAATGACTCAAAGAATCAAAAGAGAGTCAAACTGCTGTCAACAGACTTAAATGATCGTAAAGAGCCTCAAAGAAAACTTAAATAAACACAATGAAGAGATCCAATCATTTTATCTATCAAACCCTCCGCTGTAATCCATGAAGTGCTGCAGTCTCTTCCTTTTCTTTTCACAGAGTTTCTGCGCCCTCTTTAGACTTCTGTTTCATGGAGACTGATGATGATGTGAAAGTATGAGACAGTGACAGGAGGAAGCTGGAAGGAGTGCACAACTCACCAACATTAACAGGTATTAACCAGGGTTAGCGATGGCGGCGTGGCTGGGTCGGGTATCACTGGGGGATGCCTGGTACAACATGTACTCTCGCTTGCTGAGGACCAAACCTGTGGGCTCCATGGCCCACAGCTCAGACGACCTCACCGAGCTCGCGGAGGGGTCGGCGGTCGGGCTGGCCAAAGTCCTCACCACTGTGGACCTGGTCTCCCTCGGTGTGGGAAGCTGTGTTGGCACAGGGATGTATGTTGTTGCGGGGCTGGTTGCTAACGCGATGGCTGGGCCTGGGGTCATTCTGTCCTTCATAATTGCAGCGGTGGCGTCCATACTGTCAGGTAAGCAAAAGTCTTTAAGCATTCTAACCAACCAAACAAAAGATTTAGAACAATCTGGCCACATGTGTGTCTTTTGCGTGAAGGTGTGTGCTACGCAGAGTTCGGTGTGCGGGTCCCCAAAACGACCGGTTCGGCGTACACCTACAGTTATGTGACTGTTGGAGAATTTGTGGCGTTCTTCATTGGCTGGAACCTGATCCTGGAGTACCTGATTGGCACAGCGGCAGGCGCTTCAGCTCTCAGCAACATGTTCGACTCGCTGGCCAATCACAGCATCAGTGACTTCATGATAACACACCTGGGCACGGTCAGAGGCCTCGGTCAGTGCCTCCAAAACTGCTTTTGTGATTTGTTTACCATTTGCACTTTATTTACTTATCTGTTAGAGAGGATAAACAGTTATGTCAAAGAAGATTTACCTCTAAGCTCATTTATGTTATGTTGAATAATAAAAACAATAGTTAATACCTGATGCTTAAACTCTTTGTCCTTCTGTCTCAGGTAAAGGCGAGGACACGTATCTTGACGTTCTGGCTTTGTTCATTGCCCTGGTGGTCACTGCTGTAATCGCTCTTGGAGTGCGTAACACTGTGGGCTTCAACAATGTCCTGAATGTGGTCAACCTGGTGGTCTGGGTCTTCATGATTATCGCCGGACTCTTCTTCATCTCTAGCAGCAACTGGGAGGGTGGCAAGTTCCTCCCGTATGGCTGGTCGGGGGTGAGAAACTGTTTTGCTAAAGGGGCTCTATCAACTAATTTCCAGCTTCCAATCAAGAGGTTACATATTTTTTGGAAGATGGGTGCCTTTCTCTGAATGTGCTTCTGTACCTGTCAAAATGGAGTTCTTTCTCCCCAGTGTCACCAATTGCTTGGTCACAGGAAACTGTATGATTGCTGGGATTCCCTGTCAAACATTCTTTCCTATATAAAGCATCTTGAGATGACTGTGTTGTGAATTCAGGCAAATTTAAATTGAATTTTATAAATAGATTGAAAAGTGAAAGTTAAAGAGTCAACTTTTGTGCAATTACAAAGGCTTAAAGTCATCTTGCATGAGTTAGCTTAGCGTTAGCTTTACCCACTGAGCAAACATCTGTTGATCTGAGGTCTGAGGCATTTTTAAACTGCTCAGATCTAAAGTTTGGGTTTAAAGATCACCTAGTCAGAAAAGCAAAAGCATCAAAGCAAACAAACGAGCAGTTCAAGACTTTACATTTTGATCAGTTGTAAAGGGGACATGCACTTCCCAAAAAGCTAACCCACAGACGCTATGACATCAGAAAGATAAAAGAAAGGAAAAAAAACGTCCGAAGCCTGAACCTTTTACTGACTAGAATTTTTTGTGAATGCACTGACTTCATTATTTTAAACAATTATCCATGTTTAATATGGGAATCTAGCATTAGCATAATCTTTATATTACAGAGACCAAACAAAAGCAGAATAGGTCCACTTTTTTAAGATGTAAACTGTGAGATCTGTTAGTAACCCGTTCTTTCTGTTCAGGTGATGCAAGGTGCAGCGACCTGTTTTTACGCCTTCATTGGCTTCGACATCATTGCAACGACAGGAGAGGAGGCCAAAAACCCCAACACCTCCATCCCTTACGCCATCACTGTCTCGCTGGTCACCTGCCTCACTGCCTATGTGTCGGTCTGTACAGAGTCCAGCATGTTTGTTTTTAACTCAGCCAAATTAATTTCCCCATCAGATTATTTATTCTGCCTTTTTAGTCCTGATATGTTCAAGCCTGATGTCAGTTGTGAGAAAACTACACAGTGTAATGCAGCACATATGTGCTTGGAGGAGCTCTGATGGGGATGTAGCTCAGTGGTAGAGTGTGTGCTTCGCATGTATGAGGTCCTGGGTTTAATCCCCAGCATCTCCAGTTTTTACCTCTGTCTCTAGGCAATCAAGCTTCTGGACTTGACTACAGCAGACATGTGTCAAGGCTTTATGGCACCAAATGTGTGAGAAGTCCTGAATCTTTGGGTGCTTCATCATCAAAAAACTATTAGGATAACTAAGATACAAATAAATACTAAATCACAGAGGGCCCTTAAATTACTGCAAACCAAAACCTTCTGATGAGCCATAAAAATGTGTGAAACATATGAAGTCTGTTTTCCCAACAAGGGGATGTAGCTCAGTGGGAGAGCGTGTGCTTCGCATGTATGAGGTCCTGGGTTCAATCCCCAGCATCTCCAGATTTTATGCCATCAAGCTTTTGAGCTCTCACGTCTTGCACATGCATAGGGAAGTTTTTCATTTCTTTAAGGTCAGTCTATAATTTGCTTTTGTGAGGTGAGCTCTAATGATCACAAATACACTTAATATAGGTAGAAGAGATTAGGACAACAAAATAAGACTCAAAACACAGAGACGTAAGTGGCCACAAAGAGGCTCAAAATCACTACAAGATGCATATCAGAACTATAAGAGAGTCAAACATCAGTAAATAAATAACTCCCAAATGTTTCGGTGGTTAGGAAATATAAGGTAACTAAAAAAAAACCCAATATACTTAGAAAATGATCTTGATGCATGCGCAAAAATCCAGGTAAGGAAATCCAGAAAGTGGATTCTGTTCATCTGGACGTAGAGTTTTCAGCGGGAGAAACATTTCATCCAAGTGACTTCTTCAGTCTCTGCTGACTGCAGATTTCCCCAACTTATAAACAGCATATCTGCATAATGACCAAAACTAGCACCACTGACTAACAATGGGGCCTGAGGTCAGTTTCATTAACATTAAAATGCAAATTATCATGACCACTGAAGAATGGCCATGAGTACCATCCAGAGAGAGCTGGGGAATGGCTCAGTCACAGCTTTGTAAGATGGTGAAAAAAGTGTCCTAAGAACCCCTCCTTGATTCAGACATTCAAAATGTCCATGAGATAAAATGATCAAAAATAAACTTAATATGACTACAAACGACTTATGACAACAAAGAGACTCACGAAACAAAACAAAACAAAACGCAGAGACACAAGTGGCCACAAAGAGACTCAGACATCAGATGCGCATTAGATAACCACCGAAAACCTACCAGACCAGCGCTTCTGATGGGCTATAAAATTGTTAGCAACACATCCACAGGGGGATGTAGCTCAGTGGTAGAGCGCATGCTTTGCATGTATGAGGTCCTGGGTTCGATCCCCAGCATCTCCAGAGTTTTTCTCGATGTCCAGGCCATCAAGCTTCCAGACGGGACTGCAGCGTACATTGATTCGGTTAATGAAAAGAACCAGCCTTTTGGGATTTTCCTCATCATCCCAGAAGGTTGATCATAGGTCAGTCTATACATCGCATGCATCAAGACGACCACATAAAGATTCCAAATCACCACAAAACCTTCAAAATAACCACTGACATCCTCAAAAGAGTGACTTCTATCTCTTGCATGTAGAAATTATGTGTTGGGTGGCCTCAGTCGGTGACATGATACGGTGAGGCAATTTTTCAGGGGTGAGGTTGTTCTTAGTGAAAAGTTGAGTGGAGAATCTGATTAAGGCTACGTCCACACTAATGCGTTTTTGTTTGAAAACGCATCGTTTTCTCTCCATTTGGCCTCCCGCCCACACCGAGAGAAAACGCTCTCGAAAACGCAGACATGTGAAAAAGGTGCTTTTGCGTCACAGTGTGGACAGGAAAACTGAGACTTTTTGAAAAAAATGACACATTTTAGTAATGTGATGCAGTCATGTGACCAATTAAACAAAGATAGCGGAGGGCATTATGCAGCAGTTGTTTTGTTTGACAGCCCTATCAAAGATTCATATCAGTCTGTAGGTGCTCCAGATAGCTTTTCTTCAAATTCTTTCATTCTCACTCGCTTTTGCAACTTTGTACTTTTGTGTTACTCGCAGCAACAACTCCACCTCATTGTTAGTCCATTTAAAAAAACTCGGTGCTTTTCCTCGACATTCTGCCGCGACGTTTCAAAGAGCTGGAAAGTAAATACACAGCAGACAGAAATGAGGCAGGCCGAATCTTCTTGCGTTTCATGTGTGCGCAGTACTGGAACGTGAGCGTTTTCATCCGTTTCAATGTGGACGCACAACTCTGTGAAAACGACTGAAAACGATAGTGTGGACGCGGAGCGTTTTCAGACGAAAACGCCGTTTTCAAATCTATCCGGGCTAGTGTGGACGTAGCCTAAGTCCTTGAGAAAGTGGTTTCACCCTAAACCTCTGATGATGACCCACGCCTTTTCCACACCTTGGCTCATGTGATGAGGCACATGATTAATAGTGGGTCAACGACCTCCTTAAGGGACAATCTCACTAGGGTTTAAATACCCAGGACTCTTCACCATTTTGTTTTAGAACTGAGAAAGCTTCTTGGATGAGAGGTGACACATCTTTACAAAACTTCATGAAGTACAGTGGCTTCATTTTCCCCCAACCTCCTTATACTACCCTGATCTAGATGACTGACCTATGACCTACACTGATAGTGTCATGTAGCAACACTTAAGGGGATCTAGCTCAGTGGTAGAGCGCTAGCTTTGCATGTATGATGTCCTGGGTTCAATCCCCACCATGACCGCTTTTATACCATCAAGCTTCTGAACTTCAACGTATTGATCCATTCTCAATCATCCAGGTAAGTAAATCTCCGAAAGATGACTCTGTTCATCTGGACGTAACGTTTTCAGTGGGAGAAACGTTTTGTCACTCATCCAAAGTGACCAGCCCACCGAAGGAACAATGGGCTGGGAGGTCATGGGTTTCAGTCATTATGCAAATTGTTAAAAAAAAGTACTGCTGGTATTTACAATAAGAGTGCAATGACAAGACTCAGAGATCTGACCCTGTGGCATGTGTATTTCCACGAGTTTGTATTTGTGAAATGATTTGATTGCAAATGTTCCAATTGTCACAGACACTGTTGAGAGCGTTGGTGCAGTGACTCTAACAGCCACGTCTCCTGATGTAAGACAGTATCAGCCAGTTGAAAGATATACTGTAAGAATATCTGCATCACATGTGACCTGTGAATCACCTTTATCTAAGTGTTCATTCCTGATGAAACGGTGATTGTAATAATAGATATATGATAATAGAGTCTCTCACACCTCTGCATTTTTTTATTTCACAGGTGAGTGTGATCCTAACTCTCATGGTTCCCTATAACCTGATCGACGTCTCGGCTCCTCTCATGGAGATGTTTGCTGTGCATGGCTTCATGTGGGGGAAGTACACTGTGGCTGTGGGCTCTATAGCTGGACTCACCGTCTCTCTGCTTGGCTCCCTGTTTCCGATGCCCAGGGTCATCTATGCTATGGCACGGGACGGACTGCTGTTCAGGTGAGGAGGTACATGAAAACACACAGCCAGCTTAAGGAGTTTTAATAAGAAATGTTTCTGTGTCTGTGTTTTAAGGTTTCTGTCTCACGTGACTGCACTCACACACACTCCCACGGTGGCGTGTGTGGTGTCGGGGAGCCTGGCGGCCGTCCTCGCTCTGCTGGTGAGCCTCAGGGACCTGATTGAGATGATGTCCATTGGCACCCTGCTGGCTTACACTCTGGTCAGCGTGTGCGTGCTGCTACTTCGCTATCAGCCTGACGAACAGACCGACACACATCAGTTTGAGTCTGAAGTTCAGGACATGGACGGCCTGAAGCACGAAGATGCCAAAGACGATCAGATCTTGAGCGAGAATGACGGGTCATCTTCTTACCACACCGGCAGGACGGAGGGGGAGGGAGATGACTCTGATTTTCATACAGGCCACCCCTCACTGCTGAAAAGGCTTCTGGGAGGTCATTACTACACCCTGCGGCTGCGTTTGGGAATGCCTGATGCGTCAGTTCGACCAACCCCAGCCACCGGCCGCATAGTGACCAGATGCACTCTCTCCCTCTTCTTCATGTCCTTCCTCCTCTGGTCTACCATCATATTTGGGGTTGAGCAGGGCACAGGTGCTGGGGCAGTGATTTCTGGACTGATGGCAACAATGATGGCAGGGTCATTAGCGAAGCTTTTGATTATGATCATACAGCAACCAGAGAGCACCAGGAGCCTGCCCTACATGGCACCATGTGTCCCCTTTGTCCCTGCAGCAGCCATATTGGTCAACAGTTACCTCATGCTTAAACTGTCTCCACTCACCTGGGCAAGGTTCACCATCTGGTGCCTCATAGGTGAGCTGAAACAATCTTGATAATAGAGTGTTGTAGATTTGAAATGGAGCATTAATCAGTAATTCAATGACAATCAGTTTATTTAAATATCGAGTTATATATTAAAAGGAGAAAACACCAGTTCTGCAGTTGGCTGCTCGGTCAGATAGGTGATAAAGCAGTCGTTTTGTTATCTGGTTGCTTGGTTGGCTGGTTAGTTGCATGACCTGTTGACTGATAGGTAAGTTGTTTGGTTGGCTGCTTGACTACTTGCTTGGTTTATTCGTTGCTTGGTTGGCTAGCTTTTTGATTCGCTGGTTGGGTACTTTGGTTGCTCTGATGCTTGGTACAAACGATTTTAAGATGCAATAAGCCCGACAAAGAAGAGAGAAAATGCTTTACATGTGAGGTATCCAGGATTTTGTAAGAGCTTTGTAATTCTCTTCATATGGAATTCATAAAGGTTGACAATCCTACACAAACTGATCTCTGTACCTACTGACCCACCCTCTACTGCATATCCATCCTCAGGTCTGTTGATCTACATTTGTTATGGAGTGTGGCACAGCACGCTGGAGCTGAATGCTCGGGAGCAGCAGGCACATGCCAGTTCCTACCAGCGCTATGACGACCACTTGGATGACACTGTCTCCCCCGGTGACGACCTTTACACCCAGGAGCAGGACGAGAGACCGTATCAGGGGTGGTCTGCACCCGAGGAGAGAGGATACCACTACCAGCAGGGAAATCAACACGAGATCCAATACGAGGACCAAGAGAGCGGAGAGCAGGAGCAGAGCCAGTATGAAGATAATGGGGACCAGTGTGGATACCAGTCTGGAGCAGGAGGCCAGTATATGGAGACAGGCAGTAGGTCCAAGGGAAGGACCAATTATGGGTTTAATGATGAAGAGGAGAACTGAGTAATATGAAAGAGTGAATAAAACCTACCTATGAGGCAATATTTTAATATTTGTGGAAGCTTTTATGAAAACTGGGATCAGATATCAGCAGAGGAAGGAGGGCACAGAGAGAAGCCAACAGCAGATGCAGAAGCTTCAAAACAGTCTAACCCGTTTGGGTCGAAAGCAACTGGACTTCTTTACTCCAGCTTCTGCAACCTTTTGGACGAGAAGTGAAATGTGTTTGAGAACTTAAAAGAAGTCCAGCTGCCTTTGAAGATCTACCTGTATGAGCACGAATGTACACAAACACCCACCTGCCTCTGACAACCTGACAGTGACAGCAACCGTTAATGAAACAAGTTGGACTTGTGTGAGAAGAAGTGTTGTTACAAAACAAACCTGCCTTAATCTTACTTTATTCTTTTTCTATTCTTTAGTGCTCAGCCGAGGTTCAAAAGCATCCAGACTGTGTAGACGCCCATCTGTTGTTTAAATCAAGACGAACTGAGCATGCTTGAGTGAGATGCTTATCTTTTTAAAGTTAATTTCCTGTTATTTTTAATAGGCACAAGCACCGATACTATATAAAGCATTTTTATTAGCACTACTCATGTGCTGCATGTCTTCAGGCTAACCTTTTAGACACCAAAAGGCTTATGACCTTAAGATCAGGACCTTTCCATAGTGACTAATCCCAACCATACGCAAACATGTTAATGACTAACCTCGTGTGATGATGGATCATCTTAGATGTTCTCCTAACTGAAGTTTGGTCTTTTTTTAGCATCTTCTTCAAGCTGTATGAAAGTATTTTCTCTGCCAATCAGGCCAACATGAACTTTTACTGAGAACAGTTTAACCCTTATTGTCCATCTTCCCAGTGCTGATGTGTTTATATTAACCTAACCATAGCTTTGTAGACAGCCACCAGGTAGTACATCATCATGTCTCAATTAGCCCCAAAGAATTTGGACTAATTACCATACAGCATTTGCTCTGAACCATGCTCATATTAAATGTTTATACTTTTTGTGCCTAAAGGTCACTCAGGCCACTTGCACGTGGTTCTTTGCAGACTCAGGATCACTGCTTCCTTTTGCACATTCAGGTCTTCGTTGTCTTCTTTTCTGCTTCCCATAGCCGTTCACAGAAGTCTGTTCAGAGACAGTGAACAGCACACACTGGTTTAGCTTGTCCTCTGGTTTTGTTTGAGTTCTTTGTTTACGCTCTTTAATTGTTTTGGGGTGAATGGTGTTATTCAGTGTCTGTTGTGGAAAGTGCAGAAATAAAGAGAATTTGAAGCAGCAGTTTGTCTAATCGGGGTTTTATTGCGGCTTCTCTCACAGATAGAAGACGCTGAAGTGTTATCATTCCAAATTTAAAGGAGCTGTGTGAGCCGTCAATGGCAACTGCGGTAATTATTGTGTTAATAGCATCAGCCAAAGGCTAGGATAAGTAGAGGTGAGTGGATCAATCCAAATATCCATAGTGTTAAGTGGTCATTGAAATGTGTTCAGAATTTGCAAATTAACAGTGAGTCATACAAACCTCTCTGCCCCACATAAGCTGCCTTTATAGGTCAACAGTATCAGTACTGGCTCTGTATTTACTTGGTATCGGATCAATACCAAACTTTACAGTATCACACAGCACTAGTGACGAGACAAAGCCTGTCGTGCTCTGATGTACGTAGTTTGCGGTTAATCTGTGCTAGCTTTGCCTCATTTTAGCCAGAAGAGGCTAAACTCTGATGAGCTGATACCTACTGTAGAAGAAGACAAACGAAAAATCGTATTTGAAATGGATTCATATCATACAGAAATAATATTCAGTAAAACATAAATTTAAGAAAGCATGAATCTTAATTTAAATGTGTATGGGTGTTTTCAGAGAGCCCAAGAGATTTTAAAGCCTTTTTTCTAAACACAGACAAGAATTTAACCCTGTGGGTATGCAGATGATTTATTTTGATTATGCTGTTAACATAAAAGTAAAAAGAAATGATAAAAAAAAGTGGGGGATTAAATATGAGCTGCAATTTAAAAGTATCATAAACACTAAAGTGACCATGAAAACAACAGTTTGCTATTTATAATGTGAAAACAAAGAGCCGCTGACAACGATTAACTTAGATGGTCACAGCCGGTCAAACAGGGGGACTTTGCTTCCTGACTGAGTAGCTGAAGATGTGAAATATGTATTTATACATGTACAGCAAATGAAATTACAAACAGCTGCAAGCTTTCTGCTAGGCTTCACCTCGGCTCATGGAGTCCCTGAACTGGACGTCCGAACCATGTTCGTGTGGTTAAGTCTACTGACAGACCAATCACAGTCATGACCTCGGGGGCTGGTCATGTGATTGGTTTAGAAACAGTATATTTGAGTTTGTTTAGTTTTTTCCTGTAATGCCAGAGTTTGAAGTTGAGATTGTTTTGTGTGAATTGGATTTGTGTATTCCTGTTTTGACTGGTTGTTCTTTCTTCCATTGTGTTACTTTGTATCATCCAGTGAGAGCTTTCTTGTCTCAGTTTTTTGTTTCCTTTTGTACTTTGTGCCTTGGTTTGAGTTTTACTTTCCCACCTTTTGAATATGTCTTGCTTGCTTTAACCTGTGTCGTGTTTACCAGCTTTTCTCAGTCTCCAGTTAGTCCTCAGTGTGGGTCTGCCCTGAGTGTTTGTCTTACATTGTTGTGTTTTGATGCTACTTGTTTTGCTCGTCTTCCTGGCTTTCTATCCCGTTCTTGTTTTTTCATTCAGTATAATAAAACTTTGTCTTTTTCTTGTTGCTACTCTGAGTTTTGATCCTTTAGTCTCTCTAAAGACATCACTAAGACTTTTATCTCTAAAAGAATAACAAAATGCTAAAGTTGAGGCTTCAATGCGTGGAGTCCAGGGCGGCGGAGGACTGGAGTAAGTTTGATGCAATTACTGATTTTGAAACAGATATTTTTTGGGACATACACAGATTCTCCAGACTTTCCTAGTTTGAGGCCAAAAGATCTCCTGAGTGTGAGCTTATTATTAATCCCTCCAGTTCCTGCCAACATTCGTTTTCATGGTGGATTTTAGTCTTGAAGCAGTAAACAGATAATGGCATGTCTCATCGATGGCGAATATGACTTTAAACTCAAAGAAAACTTGGTTAAAAATAGAGCGCCTGGTTGCTTCACACCCGGGCGCTCTTGGCGTGGTTGGCGGGGGGGTCGAGGAGCGTGGCCGTCCCCCTGTTCCCAGAGTAGTAGAAGCTGTCGTCCCTACTCGGGGTCCCGGGGTCGATGCCCTGGCAGCACAAGATGATGATGCCACCTAGGAGGCAGAGGGCGGAGCCGACCCAGCCGGAGTACAGAGAGAAGCCGAATGACATCAGATCTTCCTCTTTATTAGCGCCGATGGGGAACCAGACGGTAGATATGATGCTGCACACAGCTGGGTTTCAGACATATTTAAACACAAAAGGTGAAAAACAGGGAAAAGAAGAGGTTATAATTTTGTGCTCGGTGCCTCCATCTGTCTGGTTGTCATCCCTGAGTTTGTGAACAGGAACTACCTGTCTTATCTCACAGGAAGCAAAACAGCCTGACAGATCCTGACCCATCATCCTCCTTCCTGCAACAGCTGGGAATGACTCGGGGAAGACCAGCGCTCTATACAACATGCCACATTCACCCAGTCACCGACTCTAAACTGAATGCTGTCTAACCAAATTCATACTGCGACAGATGCGTCGGAGAGTAACTTAGGGTTAGTATCTTGCCCAAGGATACTTTCCATGCAGACTGGAGGAGGCAGGGATTGAACCTCCAACCTCTCGATCAGTAGGTGACCAGCGCTACGTCCTGAGCTACAGCCACACGAAGCTCACTGCAGTAAGAGAAAGTCTCTTAAAACGAGAAACTGCCCTCAGAAATCAAATCTGTCCTCTGAAACTGTCCCAAAAAAGTTATTTGAACACACAAATACATCCCTCTAAAATGAAAACTACAAAATATGTAACACATGTCCTCAACAACCTGCACACTCAGTACTGTGCACTCACAGTGTGCTGAGCTCTACACTCTTATCTGAAATCAAAAACATAACAAATCAAATCTGCAGTCTGTCAAATCAAACTCATTCCTCAGATTTATCGATGGCACTGCTATTAAAGCAACATTTCATTAATAAGAGCTGGTTGAATTCTTTGAATACCAAAGACAGCACCTTCATTGGGTCCTTTACTACCTCCTTATTCTGGATGTTGGTTCTCATCTATCCAGCTTTTATAAAACAAAATGGTCAGAACACATGAAACAAAGTGTCTGAGATTTGCATTTTTCAGTCATCAGCCACTCCTTTGAGTAATCAGCTTCTCTGACAGTCTTTTCCCTGAATCTCCTCCACACGTTCCTTCATGATGTCAAGGAAAAGTGACGAGGAAAAGATGTTTTGGACTAATAAACTGCAAACACTGAAAGTCAGTGTAAGTGAAATTTCTCTTTACTTCACTGACAAAAGCTAAAACCTTAAACTCAACTAGTGTTTCTGGTAAGTGTTAGTAAAGTAGTAGTTATAATCAAACTGATATAAACACAACTGTGTGTGTGTGTGTGCGTGTGTGTGTGTGTGTGTGTGTGTGTGTGTGTGTGTGTGTGTG